AAGTGTTTAATGTATTTTGACTAATTCTCATCTCAACCTGTTGAACTGTGCCCCCCGCCAAGCTAATCCCTAGTACCGGTGACTATGCCCTTAGTTGGACATAGGGTCTCTGCAGATCAGGTTAAGATGAGGTCATTAGGGTGGGTTCTGATCCCATATGGCTTGAGTCCTTGTAAAAACAGCAGAGTTTGGGCCAGAAAAACATACACAGGGAGAGCAGCCGTGTGAACACAGAGACTGGAGGGACACAGCCACACGCCAAGAGTGCTGGGGCTGCTGGAAGCTGGAAGCAGCAAGAACACATCCTCCCCTAGAGCCTGCGGAAGGAGCGTCGTCCTGCTGACACCGACGGCCGCCTTCTAGCCCCCAGAGCCATGAGAAAATAAGTTTCTGCCGTTTCAAGCTGTCCCGTTCGTGGTACTTTGTTGTGGCCGCCCCGAAAGCTATTCACAGCCCTGTTACGATTTATGATCTTCCCCGTGGCCACAAGGCCCAAGGCCATCTGTCAGCAGGTGGGAAAGCTGGAGCCCAGGCTGGAATCTCAGCCACTGCGCTCTACTGAGCCTCAAGACTAGACTGGAATCTTCTTTCATCTCTCGTGATGGATGAAACGGGCAGGACACTCAAGCTCGCAGAGCTGGTGCACGAACCTGCAAAGTGGGAACAAAACCCAGATCCGAAGGCCAGGGACTCGCAGGAGCTCGGCTGGGGAGCTCAGCGGGGGCTCGGCGTGGGCAGAGCGCGCGGAGGAGCGGGGCTCCCTGATGGGGCACGGACTCGCTGGTGGAAGGGCCCGAGCGCCCCACTCCAGAGCTCAACCCACTCCACCAGCCGGCATCCTCGTCCTCGTCTTCCCCGAAACTTTAACCTGAGCTCTGTAAGGGCTGCCCCTCCCAGAGCAACTAGCTTGTGGACCCCGGAAGTAGGGGCGGGGCAGGCCGGGTGAAGACGTCCAGTCGGTGTGGCGCGGGTATAGCTACTGGGTGAACTGGCTACCTGTGTAGGGGCGGGGCTCAACCACCCCCATAAAGGTTGGTCTGCGAGGCTGGCGAGGGGGGGGGAAGGAGAGCTGTCAGAAGAAGAAGAAGGAAGGAGCAGCAGAGAAGAGTCGGCGGGAGCAGCAGAGAGGGGAGCGGCGGGAGCAGCAGAGAGAAGAGTCGGCAGGAGTAGAAGAAGGAGAGTCGGCGGGAGCAGAAGAAAGAGCTGTGACAGCTCTTGTAAGAGCTATAGGAGCTGTCGCAACTCTCCTTAAGAGCTGTAGGAGCTGTGAGAGTGTGACAGCTCTTGTCAGAGCTAGAGGAGCCGCCAGTGGGCCGAGCCGCCCGCAGCTCCGACGCCTGCCCCCCGCCCACACCGCGGCTTCGGCAGCGGCGCCCCGGGGAGCTGCGGAGCCACCTGCAGCGGAGCCGCCGTTGCACCTGAGACGCCAGTGGTCCAGATCCCAGCACTCCAGCAGCAGTCCAGACGCCGGCGGTCCCAGCACTCCAGCGGTCCAGACGCCAGCGGTCCCGACGCCAGCGGCCCCGCTGACACACAGCAGGGAACGGCCTGACGCCGGCAACCTCGCTGCGAACGGCCTCGCTGCCAGGAGCGGCCTTGATACCCTGAGCCGCAGCCTCGCTGGAGCTGCGCTATTCCGGGGAGCGGCTTCATCTGGAAAGAGGCTTCCTCGGTGAGCAGCCCTGTGGGAGGCAGCATCATCAGGAAAGAGGCTTCCTCCAGAGTGGCCTCTTTCTGTGAGCAGCCTTTCCGGGGAGCAGCCCTGAGGAGCGACCTCATCAACTGTGGCCTCGTCCTGGGAGTGGCCTCGTCCAGAGCGGCCTCATCTACAGAAAGGCCTTATCCAGAGCAGCCACGTTGGGAGCGGACTTGCCGGGGTCTTCGTCGTCTTTTCGTAAGAGACAGCCCTGACCGGTCAGTTTGATTTTTGATGCTTGGCGTGAAATAAAGCTTTGTTGGATTTTTGCTTTAATCCGTCTCGTTCTTTGATCACGGACCCTAACAACCTCAAAGGGGCGAGGACGCATCTGGCCCGGGGGACATTCTGATTTATTCCTGATTCAAAATTCAGAAGCTTCTCTCTCTCAACCAAAAGCCCCACCCCAAGCCCCACCTAAAGAAATTAACTTTTACATCTTTACACCTTAGAAGAATAAATAGCTCCATTTCCAAAGGAAAACATTCTCTTATTAACTGAAGAGTCATTTCTGCATAATTCTGTAACTTTCCATTTCTATGCTTAGTCATAGTCTCTTTTCCACTGTTCTTTCTCCTGACCACGTACAACCGCCTCTAACAAAGCAGAAAGAGGGAAATAGACAAGATTTCTTCCTTATGCTTGTTATAAGAGGAAGCGAAGGTCTCAAAAGGAAATACTTTGGGCGCCTGGGTGGCTCAGTTGGTTGGGCGGCTGCCTTCGGCTCGGGTCATGATCCAGGTCCCGGGATCGAGTCCCACATCGGGCTCCCAGCTCCATGGGGAGTCTGCTTCTCCCTCTGACCTTCTCCCCTCTCATGCTCTCTCTCTCTTTCTCTCAAATGAATAAATAAAATGTTTTTAAAAAAAAAAAAAAAGGAAATACTTTCAGTCAGCAAATAACTACCATAAAACAAAGATTGAAAAGTAAAGACACTCATTACGTTCCTTTATTGTACTCGACCAATAGCTTCATGTATAAAAGTCCCTCTAAAAGTATTAAATAAAAATAAAAATTTATTTTAAATTTACCACTGGTAAGTGTATACACAGTATAAGGAAAACTAGACCCTTTCCAGATCACCACAGTCCATGAACAAATGGCTAATTCACCATGTTTGTTCTGGTTTTGTCCTGAGTCCCACGAAAACACCAGTTCTTCTGAGTCCTAAAGCCAGTCTTCCTTCCTGTTACCAACGAACGCCCACCTTTTGAGGAAATAGTTTTCTTTGTAAATACTCCACCAATTCCACTCTTGATTTCAGCAACTCAATCTCATAATAGGGGATCTGTAAAGGGAGGGAAATAAAAGACATCATAATGGGTCACATTGTGAAGTCACCTTGGTGTCCTGGTTTCCTGAACTCGCCCCCGTGGCAGAGTGCAGGCTCCTGGGGGGCGAGGCTCACAGTCCTTTGCTGTGTGGCCCCAGAGCCTCCAACAGTGGCTGGCACACAGTTGGCACATAACTGGGACTCCGGGAGCCTGAACACGTGGGAACAGTGGTGCTCTAGGGCCAGCGGGAGGACAGCCGGAGCCAGAGCATGGATACTCAGAACAGCAGGGTCCAGTCTGATGGGGGAGGCAGCACGGGCAGAGGTAGAGCCTGTGGGGGCACGGGGGGGGGGGAGGAAAGGGGCCACGGAGCTCGGGGTGGTGGGCCTCCTGTGGAGGGTCCTGACGCTCAGGTGCAGAGGGCTTCTCGCTTTCTCCCGTGAGCGGTGAATGAAAAATAAAGGCTCTGGACACGCAGTGGGGTGCGGGCTTGAGAACATCTGTCTGGGGACGCAGCTGAAACAGGGCGTGGGGAAGGAACCAGACAGGACAGCAGCCACTGGGCAGCTCCAGGCACCTTCCTCACAGAGCCCCTGGTGGGCCGCGGCTGACGCAACCACGAACAAGGGCTGAGGCACAAGGGTGGGAGAGGATCCTGGATTTAACGGGTCCTCTCGCCTACTCCCGGCCGTTGGATCGGGGGGAACGAAAGCAAAACAGATATTCTAATAATTTAGAAATTCTAGAAGCAGAGGTTAGCATAGCTTATGGAGAATACAGGGACAGAAGGTGTGAATGTTCTATATTTCACATATACATACAGAGATTAAGCCTAATGAACAGAGTTGGCATTTAAACTAGATGGAAGATTCTGTTGTCCACTGGGACCAGCGCCCTGGAAAGAGCCAATCGCAAGCAGCAACTGCTTTCCGAGCGAAGGCACCTGAAGTCCTACCTGCACCACGTGGAAACCAAGCAGGCGCAGGTGTCTCTGTTTCACGGCTTCCTTTCCCAGTAAGTGTTTGGTATTCAGAGAAAACCTGTTTGGATCATCAATGCACAGCGCTACCCTGAAAAATTGGAGGGAGAAACTTAATTTTTTATTTTTTAAAATTCTTTATTTAAATTCCGTTTCATTAACAGTGTATTATTAGTTTCAGAGGTAGAGGCCAGGGACTCCCCAGTCGCGTGCATCAGAGCTCCCAGTGCTCATTACATCGAGTGCCCCCCTTAATGCCCATCACCCAGTTACCCCATCCCCCTACCCACCTCCAGCAACCCTCAGTTTGCTCTCCAGTTAAGAATCTCTTATGGTTTGCCTCCCTCTTTCCCCTGCTTCCCCTATGTTCATCTGCTCATTTGTTTCTTAAATTCCACATAAGTGAAATCATACAGTATTTGTCTTTCTCTGGTTGACTTATTTTGCTTAGCATAATACCCCCTAGCTCCAGCCACGTTGCGAATGGTCATCCTTTCTGATGGCTGAGTAATACTCCACTGTGTATGTACACACCGCATCGTCTTTATCCATTCATCTGCCAGTGGGCATCTGGGCTTTTCCCACAGTTTGGCTTTTGTGGACATTGCTGCTATGAACATTGGGGTACATGTGCCCCTTTGGATCACTACGTTTGCATCCTTTGGGTAAATACTGAATAGTGTGGTTACTAGGTCATAGGGTAGCTCTATTTTTATCGTCTTAAGGAACCTCCTGTTTTCCAGAGTGGCTGCCCCAGCTTGCATTCCCACCAACAGTGGAGGAGGGCTCCCCTTTCTCCACATGCTCACCAACACCTGTTATTTCCTGTCCTGTTAATTTTAGCCATTCTGACTGGTGTGAGGTGGTATCTCAGTGTGGTTTTGATTTCTATTTCCCTGATGCCGAGTGATGTTGAACATTTTTTCATGGGTCTGTTGGCCATTTGTGTGTCTTCTTTGGAGAAATGTCTGCTCATGTCTTCTGCCCACTTCCTGACTGGATTATTTGCTTTTTGGGTATTCAGTTTGAGAAGTTCTTTACAGGTTTTGGATACTAGCTCTTTATCTGATAAGAGGGAGAAATTTAATTTTTAAGACAATCCAAAATACTTATATATTCTTAGTGGCACAGATTCGCTTGGGATTCGGTTATTCCTCTATGTCGGCATTATTTTCAGTCACTCACGGATGTGCTATCCTTTCCTGTGTTGCAACGGCACTCAAGTTTATTAACATGAATGTCTATGTTACACGGAATTTCCACAATCGGGATGCTGCATGCCAGTGTCTTCACTTCTAGAACCTCGTCTACTCTCCCACCCTGGGAAAACAGCATCGGTTACCAAGCCTGCCGAGTCTCGCCACATCAAACCACACCAGTTTTACCTCTTATGCACATCTTCATTGACTGTAAATGGCAGTACTAATCCTTCTTCGTCTAATTTAATTTCAACATCTGGTAAGAGAAGAAAGGAAACATTCTCCGTGTGATACCCTCACAAACACTACATGCCTGTCCTCCTCCTCCTTCTGTTCTGAATTCTTCCACACTGTGATGGACCAGCCGGGCTGAAGTCTGCGAAGTAATGACCATACCAGACCATGGTGAGAATTTCACTTTAACCAGCTCTACAATCACCCAAGTCAGCCTTAAGTTAAGGATGCTCCGCCATGAGAAAACCAGGAGTGGAGTCCTCTAGATACCGGGCATGACAAGAACCTTGCCTTTCTTCTTCTCCTTCTGTAGAAAGTGGCAGGAATCCTTCAACCCAGAGAGTGAAGGAAGCCCTTTAAGCGAAGCAGGAGTATAACCTCCGCAAGTTAAAACTTTCATCACTGCGGCTCCCAGAGCCTCCCAGAGCAAAGCCTCCTGCACCCTGATGTGTGGTCGCCGGGCACAGTGGACCACCGCTTCCTTCCCTCTGACATCCTGCCATTCCTTCTGTAGAAAGAGCCCATGTGAAGAAGGTGAGCTATGATCACCTGAAACCAATAAGACACTGTCACCTTTGAGCTGATTTTCTTTTATTCATTAATTAAGAAAAAAAAACCGTGACGGGCATAAGAACGTGAACTCTCCGGTCAGCCCCGTGCAACAGAACTTTCTGTTGCGAAGCAGGTATTTTCACCTTTGCTGTCCACCACGGCATCCACCAGCCTCCTGGGTGTCTAAGTGCTGGATGTGTGGCTCACGCAACCAAGGACTGAACTGTGGATGGGTTTTCAATCGAAGTTGATGGAAACTTAAGGAGCCACGAGTACTACTGGCCGCTGCACTGGCCAACGCTGCCCTGGACGACGACAGCAGCTAAGAGGGACGCAGCACGTACTACATTCCCGGTATCACTCTATACTCTCCCTTGGTCCTTATGCAATTCTGGGTCACTGTGCTTCTTACATTCATTTTACAGAAAAGAAGCAAGCAGAGAAAGGTTACTCTGCCCGAAGACATTCCACTACCACGTGGGACCCCCCTGACTGTCCGGACTGCACAGCCCTACCCCTACCCCGCGTTCCAATGTGCCTTCAGGGAAGGGCCACCTCTGCTACATTTCCAGACCTTGCAGGGGCGACTAAATCCCACAGATTCCCAAAGAGGACAGCATGCTGAGGCTGGTCAGGCACAGCAAACCCCCTACTACTTACCTATTGTGTAACAATACGGCGTTAACACTTTCGGAGCAAAATACAATCTTGCTCCCAAAAGGTCAACCAGTCCAATCTTCACAAATTTGTAAAGCTGGAAATCCACAGGCGTCTCCAGGGAAGAACATGGAGTAAGAAATGATCTCACTCGGTATTTAGGAAGAAGTTTCTGACCCTAAAAATTGGATGATTAAACATGAGAAAGGAAGAAACGATACAAAACAAGAAAATAAATCCAATAGTTCAATGTATCTTATAAATATGTTTTAAAAGTAGTCAGTGGGGGCGCCTGGGTGGCTCAGTGGGTTAAAGCCTCTGCCTTTGGCTCAGATCATGATCTCAGGGTCCTGGGATCGAGCACCATGTTGGGCTCTCTGCTCAGCAGGGAGCCTGCTTCCCCCTCTCTCTCTGCCTGCCTCTGCCTACTTATAATCTCTCTCTCTCTCTCTCTGTCAAATAAATAAATAAAATATTAAAAAAAATTAAAAAAAATAAAAGTAGTCAGTGGTCACAGAAAGAAAGGGAAGGGTGGAACAACAATGCTATTACAGCTCCAGAAACATCTTTAAAACTCTTAGAATTACTTTAAGGGCCTTGAGGACACTCATGTTTTCAATAGAGGACAGTATGAAAAAGGTGACATTTCAAATCAGGGAAAAAAGGATGGCTAAATGCTGCAACTGGTAATCCACCTGGGAACGAGCTAAGTGAGAGTTCCAGCGTGCACTGTGGACTATCATAAATTCCAGGTGAGTTAAAAAGCTAAATACAGAAAGGGAAATGATACTTTTGAAAATTTAGAAAAATATTTATACTACCTTAGGACAGGTAAAATATTCTCAGTGAGAAAAGAAACCTTAAAAGATGGATAGATTTTACTACAGAAAATTTAAAAACTTTTATATAGTAGAAAGATACCATAAACAATATTAAATTAAAATTAAAAAGTAAGAACTATAGGGGCACCTGGGTGGCTCAGTCAATTAAGCATCCAACTGTTGATTTTCAGCTTAGGATCTCAGGGTCCTGAGATGGAGCCCGCCACCGCAGGCTGTGTTCAGTGTAGGGTCTGCTTATGTTTCTCCCTCTCCCTCCCTCTCTGCATCTGCTCCTCCCCTGCACCACGCACATGCACACACGCAACCTCTCAAAAAAAAAAAAAAAAAAAAAAAAAAAAAAAAATTAACAACTACAAACCAGGAGCGCACCTGGGTGGCTCAGTGGGTAAAGCCTCTGCCTTCAGCCCAGGTCATGATCTCAGCGTCCTGGGATCCAGCCTGCATTGGGCTCTCTGCTCAGCAGGAAACCTGCCTCCCCCCCCACCCCCGCCTGCCTCTCTGCCTACTTGTGATCTCTCTCTCTGTGTCAAATAAATAAAATCTTAAAAAAAAAAGTACTACAAACCAGGAGAAAAAATGTACAACATACACAGATATACAGGAACTAATATCTCCATCTCACAATGTGTTCTAGGATGAGACAAAGAAAAAAAGGACAAGCAACCGAACAGGAACGTGAGTCAAGAAACGGATTCGAAGAGGATTCGTAGCAAACGTAAATGACCAGGAAGCACTGTGGAAATACATTAAACTCTTCTTCATGGAGCCGAATGGTAACAATTAAAGGACTGATAACACGCAGCGACAGAGGGGCAGGGCCATGGCCGGGGAAGGGACATCTACAGCCATCAGGCCCAACAAGTGTGTGGGTAACTCAGTCATCTCACTTTCAGGAATCCAGTCTCTAGACTGAAAAACAAAAAGGCTCCAGTAGGGAAGGACACATAAGAATGTTCACTACAGCCTGCTGACGGAGAGAAACGCTGGGGAAAAACCTGCGAGTCCAACAATGATGGAAAAGAATAAATATCTGGAAATGGCATGCCATTCTTAAGAACAGTGCATGTCACCTTTGTGTACTGTGCCCAAGGAATGTCCATGATGTACTGTGTATACATAAAAGTATACTGTCCTTGCAGTAGCCCCATTCCAAGGCAAGAGAGAAACCAGGACAGTGTTCGTGCCTTTGTGTCCATTTGGACATAAAAACTGCTATCAACACTGCTCCTTCAGGGATGGAAGGAGGCTGGGGTAAGTCATTGCTCTTAATATGCCTTAGCACTGCTCAAGTTGCTTTAAACAAAATAGTTGGCGGTGGGGGGGGGGAATGGGGGTGGCCCGGTTGGTTAAGCATCTGCCTTCGACTCTGGTCATGATCCTGGGGTCCTGGGATGGGGCCCCGCATCGGGCTCCCTGCTCAGCAGGGAGCCTGCTTCCCCCTCTCCTGCTGCTGCTCCTGCTGCTTGTGCTCTCCCTCCCTCCCTGTCAAATACGTAAATAAAATCTTAAAAAAAAAAAAAAGAAGAAGAAGAAAATAGTGGTATCTCCATTCTTACACCTTACTCTGAAATGAGCTACTCTTAAAGGTGAATCAGTGTGGCCCGGAGGACCAGGCAAAATGAGCAAGTCCGGAGATGCCATCTGGGATCCCACACAGGGGGCCTGATTAAGTCAGGACAGTGAGTCCCTAGAGGTCTAGACCGGAAGCACAACCTGCACCTCAACTGAACAGAGAAGAGGGAAATTTCTGGTCTGGCCTAAAAACGTACTTGCAATCGTTTAGGATTTGCTCGGTCCAGAGATTCGCACGTCTGTATCCAACAGCTGTGGGAGCGCTAAAGCCCTTCGCAGCCCTCAGAGGGAATCTAGGGGCGCTCTGACTGCGGCACTTGACGAAATCTTCTAAGACACCCCGCAGCAGGAAACGGTCCTTCAAAGACCAGACGACAGCAATAGGGCCAATTTATCAAAGAAAAGGTTACCTGGTGGCAAGTAACTCCAAGTGAATGAACGTCCTGCTTTCTGACGTGGTTACTGAGACAGATCAAAAGAGGACAAGCTTCAAAACTGGGGGTGGGGACACGAAGAACGCTGCCTCCACGGCAGAATCAGGCAGCACGGCTCTTGCTCTTACCTTATAGAAAGGGCATTCTAGGACCGAGGTTAAGAACAGTTGGGTCAGCTGTGCGAGGCTCAGTCTGTCCAAATAGGATTCTTCACCTGAAATAAAAAGCGTTCCGGTTGTGGTTACTTTGGATTTTGATCTGTGTGATGAAAGAAAGGAACATCCAGGAACGTACAATGTCCACTAACCGCTCCGGAAGGCACGTACTTTTAAACGACCCTGGCAGAAGAACGTGTCAGAGCTAAGTACGCTTGCCATCCGTGCGATCTCGTTTTAACTTCCAAGGAACTCAAGCTCCAAACGACAAAATATAATTAAAAGAAACAGGTATGTTAAAATCAGTACGGAGTCCCTTGAACTGGAGACGTGGACACCTGACATGTCTGGGTGGCCATCCACTGAGATGACTGACGCCAGCCTGTCAAAACCGGGAAGTCTCCAGTTGCCCTCACAGCTTCTGACACGTTGTGACTATGACCGGGGCCACGTCATCCCACAAGACTCAGGCTGGCAGTCTGTCGAGCCGAAACTGTTTTCCCTGTGTGTATTCCATCACCCTAGACCTCTGTGTTTTGATTCGCACCTGACACTCTTATTAAGGTTATTACGGAAGAGGAAAGAGGGGCACATTGCTCAGTGTATGGGCAGACAGGCGCCTCAAAAACCTCACATGTTCCAGGGTTAATTTCCCCACTTGAAGTTATAACCAACCCACCTTGCAGCTTTTGAAGAAAATAAGGGCTGAATATTTTTGCCATGAAGTTGACCGGATGGCATTCAATTAGTGAACATGAATGGAGAATTTTCAGTAGTGTTTTGGGTGGAAAATAATTGAAATGAGTGAGCAACGTGTCTTCTAGCTTTCTAAAGAAAGCAGAGGCATTCGGGGGCAAGTAATTGAGTTTTCCAAATGGTTCGATTAACTCAGAGATCTGATGAGGTGAAAATTTTTCTGATTGGCAAACAAAGGTTTCTGCCACTGCATCGAGGATGGGTTTTGAAAGAATCCGCTTCCTACCGCAGTACTCCGTGACCTTGCTGACAACCTCAGGATCCAAAGTGAGACACACTGAGGCTACATGCTGCTCGAGGGCTTTTGTAAAAAATCTGTCGTTGTGCCCAAAGTATATGAAAGCCTCTAAGACTTTTCTGAGCTCTTCATTAGTAAAACGAGGGATATGCCTCACAACATATTTTCCCAATTTTATAACCAGAGGAAGTGCCTGGGTTTGATCAAGAACCACCAGGGCACTGAGGATTTGGCTCATTGATGTTGGAGTCAAGCTGTAAACTACAGACAGAGAAAAGTTGTTTAGCTTATTAAGAAATGCTTGGTGTTGGCCCACTTTTTCAGTACAAGCCTGCAGGATTCTATAAAGAGCCACGATATCCTCAGGGGTAAATTCTTCCAACTTTTCCCTTTTCAGCTGACCTATCACCAGTTCTAGCGTCGCGCAGCCCGGCCCCTGCAGTATGATCAGACTTTCCCCAAGAATACAAAGACTGTGGACTTCCAGGCCACCCCCTTTGAGGCGACGCTGGCATTCTGCCACCAGGCTCAGAACCAAGCCTCTGTGGGGATCCACATGCAACAGAGTCAGAGCTTGCAAAGTGGTCACCAAAACCGTGTCCGGCAGACCTGAAGGTTCCTGTTCACACTGAATGCACAGCGCCTGAAAGACACGGTTCTTTAGTATTTCTTTTGGCAGCTTTTCATCACCATCTTTTCTCCCCACTTCACAAATCCGCTGTAAGGCGCCTGCTGCTAGAGTATCAGGCAAAGTCTGCAGTTTGCAGCTTATAAAACTCAACACTTCTTCTGAGGACGTGAAGCTGTTTAGTCTCCTGTAAAACGTCGGCTCATCCACACTTGTAAGACTTTGTTCAGGCCTATCCCAGACATGTGCTTCAGAGAACACGGGCTCACCAGCCGGATGAAGGTCATTTCCGTTTTCTGAATGGAAGTTTTTACAACAGCTGTGATGGAACCTGACCCCGAGAGGCTCAGCCTGCGGTGAACAGAACCACGGACACAGACGCTCCTCGGCTACCTTGTGAACATGAATTATAGGATGGTTTTTCAGAGCGGCCAGAGCTCCGTGGATCCGAAAATCAGACAAATGGCAAAGGTTCCTCCACAAGGTAATTAAGGCCATGTCATCAGATCCTCCACTCTTCTTGATTTACAACTAAAGGAAATTAAAAAAAAAAAAAAAAAAACATGGTCAAATATATACAGCGCATAATCCAACCACATGAATGCTTAAGAAACCGAGCAGGAGTACTGGTGACAAGTGACTCATAAACACAAGTACCCAAACATCAGTCTCTGCATCGGCAGCTTGGAAAAGCGGCTGGCATCTAAGAGTAATACCCCCCGCCACCTGGCATCCTCCCACCTCCCCCTGCTTTGCCGGTAGAGCTAACCCTCACCACACAAGGCATCAAGTACTTCTACTCATTCTACAGATGAGAAAACTGAGCCCAAAGAGGTTATTTTATCCGGTTTGCACAGCTCATCCGTGGCAGAGCTGGGACTCACACTCGGGCGGTCTACACCCCAAACACGCCTCCTGCGTGTTGGCTGACAGCACTGCGTTTGGTAAAACACACCCAAAAGGAGCAACGGGTAAAAGGGCCCAAATCCGTAGAGGTCAACGCAAAGCAAGGCTCAAACACGTGGAAAACGCCCGAGGCGTCGCTTTCCTCTCCAAGTTAAGATCCTGCCAGGGCCGAGGAAGAACGGGGTCTAGTTTGGGGAAAAAGGCAGATTTGAAAGAAGTGAAACGATGCAGCGCACAAATGGGTAAGATGAGAATTCCGTGTCCACCTAAAGGCTCGCGTGGGACTTGGGGACACGAGTGTGCAGGCCAGAGAGACGGGGCGCCCCAGGAACCGCGTCTTCTAGGAGTGAAAGGACCCCACGCGCCGGGCGCCTGTAAACCCGGCGACCCGGGAACCTGCGCTCCAGCCCGGGGAGTGCAGGGGCGGCGGCCGGAGAGGAGCGGGAGGGCCATGGCGACACGGACACCTCGGCAGCGCCGCGGGCTCATGTACGCGGGGCCGGGACACCTACCAGGCTGGGACACCTACGGCGCTCAGACCGCGGGAGCTCCGAGCGGCGCCGAGCCACCGGAACCTCGTGGGCCTCCGTACGCGCATTCCGTAGCGGACGCCCCCCCCCGCCCCCGGCAGCCCGGCGCATGCGCAGAGAGAAGGCCACACCCCCGCGCCGGGAGCGCTGTGATTGGCTCCGTTCCTTCCCGAGCTCCTCATTGGTCTTGGGCGCCAGAAAGGTGTTCGCCGTGACTGAGAGCGCAGCGCAGGAGCAGGCTCGCGTTCCTACTCTTGCCGCGGGTGTTTCCGGCTGGGCACGGTCAGGTGAGACCGCTGGCTGCGGTTCCCCGGGCTCTCAGTCCGCCCAGTTGGAGCCCGCGGGGAGGCGGTACAGGTGGGGGAAGGCACGGGCCTCTGCGCCCGCACGTCCCTCTCGCGGCCGGGCTGGGCCCTCCCCGGTGGGTCAGGAACCGGGCCCGGCTGGGCGGACAGCGGCTGGGCGGGCTGCGCGGGAGGCTGGGTCCTGGGTCTCCCGTCGCTGCTCGGCAGCTGGTCGGGCCCCTCAGTGGCGTTAGCACGAGCGGCGCAGGCCCCGCAGGTCCCTGTGGGCGCCTCCGTGGGCGTCTGTGTCCCGAACACTTCCCTAGACTGGGGGGCGAGGGGACCCAACGGGGCGACCCCAAAGGGGTGCGGCAGCGAGGGTCACGCGGGGTGCTGCTCCCCCGCTTCTCCGCCTGCGGGTGCCGGGGATCCGTCTCTGAGTAACGGGGGTCACAGACCTTTGTAAGGTGGTGGTGGGCCTGAAGGGGTTCCTCCTCCTCGGGAGCGCCCGGGGCTGTGCATGGCGCCCAGGAAGAGCTCGAGGTACTTAGCTGTGGTGACGGTAAGCGGTGACATTTCCATCACTGCATTTCCACAGTTGTCGCTGAGCCCAAAATGTGTGTTGTCTTCGTAGCAGGCATTTATTCGTTGGTTCGGCTGACTTACTGAACGCCTGCTCGGTGCCAGGCAGTGTCCTGTTCCGTAAGGGCATTCCGTGCGTTCAGTGTTCCCTAACACAATCCTTTTAATTTCTTTGTGGCTTAATTTATCCCTGGACGTAACTGGTCAATGACATAAAGCTGATGGTCCATTCCGAAACGCCAGGATTTGATACTGATTCATTGAAATCTGCCCCTACAAGTTGGCAGTCAGTCCCCTGGTTTTGTTATTATTTTTTTAAGTTTAATTTACTGAGTAATCTGTACACCCATTGCGGGTGCTGGAAGTTCACCACCCGGGGATCAAGGGTCTCACACTCTGGACTGAGCCAGCCAGGCGCCCTCCAGTGCCCCAGCTTTAGATCCTGGATGAGGATAGGAAAACAAGTCTGAGAGTCCCGTGTCTTACTCCTGGTTTTCTCTTCAGGAAACACATTTTGAACTTGAGTGGATTGGAAATATTTCCTCTCTCTCCGTACATGTATACGTGTGCACTCGCGTGTGTGTATCTGATACTGAAGTAGAGCGGGGTATGTAGCTTGATTAACTGCTGTGATTAGCGTATTTGGCATTCAGAACGGGTAGGAACAGAATCGTATACTTCCAATGGAATTTTTACATTTAAAAAAAAAACATGTATTCATCTGAGAGCGAGAGCACGCGTACAAGTTGAGGAAGAGGAGAAGCAGACTCTCTGTGGGCGCTGGGAGACTGCCTCAGGGCTCCATCCCAGGGCTCGGAGTTTATGACCTGAGCTGAAGGCAGGTGCTTAACCGACTGAGCCTCCCAGGCGCCCCATTGCATTTGTTAACATGAAAACATCAGATTTATTGAGCACTGCTGTGTCTCCGCTGTGGCTCAGATCTTCACAGCTGGCACATCTTTGTCGGGGGCGGGGGCGCTGTTAACCCCATTTCAAGGGCGAGGGAGCTGAGGCACAGACCAGTGGAAAGGCTTGCCTGAAGTTCTGCCATCGTGCATGATGGACGCCAGATTCGAGTGCGAGGAGTCGGACCCCAGCATCCGGTTTCTGAGCCGTGGATTTAGAACTTTACTCCTGTATTCTCCCTGGTTGGATGAATTCTCTTTTTTAGACTCGCTGAGAATTACGCTAACGTACTTAGAGAAGCCTGCGTCGTATTACGTGTGCATATTGTCGGAGTCTTTTAGAAAGACTGTGAGGGAGAACACCTGTGGTGTATGCCTCAGTTAGGAACAAAGAACATTCCTCTGTCTCTTCTGTTCCACAGTGTGTTGAAGCTGTAGCACATGCCGTGAGGCGATGAGGAGGTTTTTGTTACTCTATGCTACACAGAAAGGACAAGCGAAGGCCATAGCGGAAGAAATATGTGAAAAAGCATTCGCACATGGATTTTCCGCAGATCTTCACTGTATTAGTGAGTCAGATAAGGTGAGCGGCTACTCATGGATTTTACTGTGTTTTATGCTCAGAATATGTTGGTTGGGAGGTGACGTTAAACAGCAAAGTAGGCTGCTAAATGTCTCCATACTCCCTTTTCTCTCAACACTTAGAAACTTATTTTATCAACTCTTGTTAAGATTTGTCATTTTTTTTAACATACAAGTGTACATTTGAATTTGACCCAACAGTTTCAAAAGCCAAAACAAGTAACCACTCAATTGTGAGGGGTAGTAGTAGCACTTCCTTTCTCTCTCGGCTGTGAGAACTAAACAGATGAGTGCTTGCACTTGTGTGTTTCCCAACTCACGAATCCTAAGTGCCCCTTTTGCATTTCCTCAAAATAAAGACTTTGCCATTCATGTCAGAGTTCCTCCAAGGGAAGGACTATGCAGTTCTTTTGTGGACTACAATTTAAAGCAGGAGTGGAAGGTTCTAAAGAAGATTCAGCTTCTTTACGGCAGGGAATGCTTATTTTTAGGCTTAGTCTCTGCAGAAATTCCTACCTTAGGTTATGGAAGATTGTAACAGATCTGTCTTCTTTCAGTTAGTGTGATTGAGTTTTCTGGATTTTACTGTCTTATACAAGTCAGTCTGTAGCAACGAGCAGGAGCTTTTTATAGAAGGACAAGTTCATGTGCCAGCCACTAACACTTTAAAAATGTCCCTCAGTACTTTAAAAATTAACCTCGGTGTAGCCGGTATACTCAAGTTCATAGTCTCCTCTGGCCTTTTCCACGTCTGTAGTTCAAAGGACTAGACTGTCAGCAGCACAAGTGAATGAGAAACTCCCCTCATAGGAGAACCTTCATGTTTCTGTATGTGTCAGGGTCAAGATGACTCCAGATGTAGCCACTCACCCACCAGGGAGCATCCTGGAGGATACTGCCAGGCCGAAGTTTCTGTAATCCTACAGCAGCCTCGGTGTTGGTCTGTTAATACTCCAACCAACTTAGAAGTCAGTTAACAACATTTAGCAGGGTGCCACATGCTAGAATATAATCTGAATCTGTTATTGTAAACAAAAAGTTGTCAGCACCATATAACTAGCCCTGATTTGGCCCCTCGGGCTCACCTCACCGCCTCGGCCAGCAGCTATTTGAACTTTAGGTGAATGCTACCAGTCATGTTAGCAGTCCTGTTTGCTCTCCCCAGCTCATTGGTTTCTCTAGTCCTTGATCCAAGTTTAAACAGATAGCTGTCTACTTGCTAGGTCATGGTAGTCCTTTTTAAGACAAAGTTATGTGAACTGTAAAAGTTCACTACACAGGGTGCGCTGTCTCCTGTAAGCATTGAATCACCTGGTAATCTGTTACCTCAAATCCTTGTATCAGCATGAGGAAGTGGTGAATCCCTCAGTCAGATTCGATGATACACATGAGCAGTAGAGATCATGGAGTCATTAGGAAGAGAGACAGTGAAGTGTCTCTTTGGAATATTTAAATTAGATCAGGTTTAGAGTGAAGAAACTTATCTGTAAGTTGCTGAGTTTTCTGCCGATGGTTTCCATTTACCCCCTCCGTATTCCCAGCTTCCAGGATCCGGAGGGGGTGAGGAGTGGGCCAGGTTCCATGGTACCTGAGGAGTAACGCTTGCACTCCCCCCTCTTCATCCTCTGTGCTGTGAAGCCTCATGCAGCACAGATGCCTGGTTCTGGATAGAGGAGACCTCGCTGGTTGCCTTGCTGATGTGTTAAGTCAGAACTATGTACAGCCGTAGATCCCTGACACGTTGTCCTCATTTTGTAGTATGATCTGAAAACTGAAACAGCACCTCTCGTTGTGGTTGTTTCCACCACGGGCGCTGGAGACCCACCCGACACTGCGCGCGAGTTCGTGAAAGCAATACAGGACAAGGCCCTGCCGGGAGACTCCCTTGCTCACCTGCGCTACGGATTACTGGGTATGCACCGTGTTTGCGTTCTGCCTGTCCTCAGTTACTCCTGGTTTAATTCTGGTATCTGAATGTATCCTTCAAAACCATGACAAATAGTTGTGTAGATTTTGTTGTTGGTTTTCTGTTTACCGTTCCATGTTTTATATTTCTATGGTGTCCTGTGTTCTGTGAATGCCTCCCCTGTCTTCACCCCATAGCAGCTCCTCTGTGGAGCCCCTGGAATAGCATTTTTTTTTTTTTAAGATTTTTATTTATTTGACAGTGACAGAGGGAACAGAAGCAGGGGGAGTGGGAGAGAAGGAAGCAGGACTCCTGAGCAGGGAGCCCGATGCGGGGCTCGATCCCAGGACCCTGGGATCATGACCTGAGCCGAAGGCAGACACTCAATGGCTGAGCCACCCAGGCGCCCCATTTACATTTTTTTATTCAAGTTTTTTCTAATTTCTGTTTTCAAGAATGAACATGTATGTGTTGCTTTAAAAAATTCCTCAAAAAAGGTATCAACCATTCTAGTCACTGTTAGGCCATTTATGGACCGCACCCCCCCATGCCCACCACAATTGCTTACCCTGTTCTTTTTGTGAAAGTATGTGGAGATGATTAAACAACTGAGAAATTAACACTTTTAACCTTAAATTTTTAACCAAGTATGAAAATGTTAGTCCATTTTCTTGCCAGGAAACATAGGAGTTCCTAATTCACCTAACACAGAAATACAGGAAATAATTATGTTGCAGACGTACCTGTCTATGCTCTCAATTAGGGGTCAGTAAAATCAATAAAGGGCCAGA